AGTAACACTGATAGGCTCATGTGCCCCATTGAGGCAGTATGTGTGAGAAGAGACACCTTCACTGAAGCAAAATAGACATTCTCACTTAAACTGAGCCCTAATCTGGCAGATGGTAAAGGTAGGTCATAACAAAATGCAGGTGTAAGGAATGCTAAGACCCTGAGAAACTAACGTAATCATCCTCCTTTCACTTTCTAATTAATAAGACAGAAAAACAAACAAAAAAGGCACATGGTCATAATGGTCACACAGGCAGGGCAAAACATGGATGGCTTACCTTATAAAGTATCTCAATGAACAAGATGGAAAGGCCCAATAGGTAAAAAAGAAACACGCCTTTACATTCAAGTTTTAGTTCGGTTCATTAATGTGGGGTTTTGGCTTATACTAGTTGCAAATATCAAGATTCCAAACTAACAGTATAAAAAGCATTAACTAACAATGGTACACTTCAACAAAATACAGCATTATCCAGAGTAACATCACAAATTCATACAAAAACCAGGGGAGGAAACACTGAGTCTTATGTGATGCTAATAACACATCCAACAAACTCTTTTAACTCTTACCTATAACTGAACTATTTAGGGAAATAGTTTTAGGGAAACTTGATGCGTGTGCCTTTCAAGCAAGTAAATGCTTCTGAATTTTACTTTCTGTCAGACACAATAGGCTTTAGGACATTCTTTTAAAGTCCTTCGGAAGAGAAGGTTGAAGGAGATGCTTAATGCACAACAGTCACAGGCACCTTAGTGAAAAGCACAGCTTCTAATATAAAAAAAATTTAAGGGTTTTTACATCATTAAAAAAATTTTATTCAAGATTTAAACATGGTAAGTAAAAAACAAAAATCTAAACTTAATTTCGTTTTCTCCCCATATTTAAATTATCCCTAAACTGTATTTCTAAGTATTTGGGCTTTTATTGACTATTATTTCCAACTCTAAAAAACTGAACTGTATTTCTATCTGTATGCACACATGTATCTACTCCCTCAATTAATGAACTCCATCTTCCAGAGTTTATATCTCACACTGCCTTGTTACTTATATAAAATTCTCAAGAGAAAAAGCATGATTAAATTGTAAAGTTCTTCTCTTATCTGTATCAAATATCAGACCACAGTTTCTCTTTTATAACAAACAGGTTTACTTTAGAAACTGCAATTTTCACAATTAAATCTGTTGATGGTATGTGCATACCATTTAAATAATCAACCACTATATTTATATTTTAATTTTCTAATATTAAAAATTATTTTAAATAAGAAATTTCTAAAATATCTTACAAGGTAGGCAACAATTTTACATGCAGTATACCTTATATATCTATCCTTTTAATTATCAAATACTCCATCCATCCACCTATCCATCCAACTATCAATGAAAACCAAAAGCCCATTTTGTGTGACAAAAAAGTTTACTGATTACCCGCAAGGTGTGCAGAAATTCAATAGTGTGAAATTTTACTTTAATAAAACAGTATCAGAACTGCCCCTGCAATCTAGTTTAAGGAGGAAAGAAATAAACGCAAAGCAAATTCATAGTAGTAAAATTCAGTGACCTGCTGGATATCGACAAGGAAGGGGTCATTAGACATTCATAGCCTACCTGCTTATTTTTATACAGGGACTATCAGAACCAAAACGAAAGGTTTGGTTAGTTTCAATATATAACCATCTCTAGTAACGTCATCTTAGGAAAGCTTTCAACGGCAGTCAAGATAAAGGAGGAATTTCAGCTTAAAGCTCAAGTAAAACAATAGTCTAGTAAACTGAGGCTTTTTTAGCTGTGGTTTAGTGAATGCTTAGTTTACTGACTGTAAATTCCAACCACTAAGTCCCAGTGTTTCACTTTTTTTTTTTTGAGTGTCAAAACTAGGAAATCTCTGAAACTAAGAATACATGCTACGAGCCCACAAAAAGTTTTCCTTCAAGGGGAAAATGGCTATTATCACTAAGAACATTACTGAACAAACTGTCTTACAATTTGCTAAGTCACACAAATGTACCTTCAGAAACCTTCAAATATGCACTTGAATAAACTGTTTTCAAATTACTCATTTTAAGAACTTAACTATATCAAATATTAAGTCCAGGCCAAAGACATATCTGTTTAATGAATACTAAACAGTATTAAAAATTACAATAGCATTTATATTAAATACTAAATTCTGTAATTATAAAAAGTTTTAAAAGCAATTTAGCCTCTAGAGAAATACTTGAGTCAAGCTGCCATCTTTTTCACTCACCAAAGTGTTATTTGGAATGATTAGCAAAGGGAAAATTCACCTTTAAGCACCACTGGTTAACTGTGCATCAAATACAGCCATTCACTTTCCCACAGGTATCTGTATGATACCTGATATAACTTCTTAAAGGAACCACCAGTATCAACAACCACTGCCAGTGTTCAGCAGTAAGAACAGGTTTATCACCCACTTACTGTTTCATTACATCTTTGTATTGCTTTTCTTTGCAGTGCTGGGGATGAAACTCAGGGTCATAGCATGTTGGCCAAGCATTTTACTCCTGAGCTCTGTCTAACGCTAGCCCTTCTCTTCATCACATCTTTCAGGAATTTTAGAGGGTTAGCAACTCTCAACACTGATAAACTAACCGTGATTGAGTATTTAAACTTCATATGCAAGCATGCAGAGTTCAAAGGATCACGACATTAGCATCTTTCCAATTTCTCTTAAACAAGCCATAAGTCACTTCTTAATTCTCTTATGTGGCCAGAATCTACTACTGCACTAGCTTTAAACAGCTTCCTGAGGAATGTGGCTAGGCTGGAAGTTTGGAAAGATTGGCTTTGGTGGTGACCAAACCAGAAAAAAGTCTCTAGCTTCCCTGTGCTGCAGTTCCCACCCTCCCACATAAATGTACCCACCGGTGTGAAATGACAATGTGGTCCAAAGAGCAAGGCAGGAAACGGAGTCCAGATCCTCAAAATGGCAGTACAGGGCATAACCACTAGGCCACCTATCAGTTCAGTACAAAAAGTACAACCCTGGGTATCATGGTGCAAAAGCTGGGGCCTAGGTTTCGCACTGTGCATCTCCCACCTATGGAAATAATAAGAGGAGTAAAATCTATAGAAATTCACACCCTAAGAGAGTGGGTGTTCACAGAAGACTGGTGTCAACATTTGCAAAGGAAGGTTGTTGGCTACTGACAAGTCCAAAATTGGTGAGGAACAAAATGTTAATCAATTCTGTTGAGTTTTGACAATGAATAACTCAACATACGCTTGATGTTTGTCAACAATGCTTTGCAAATCGTGACACGAGTCTATGATGCTTATGAAAATTATCCCACAAAAATCTAACACCCTTCAAGAGTAACTTTTAACTTTCAAAGAGTTAGTTTTCAACTATGGACCAAACAGCAACGTCCCAAACCTGTTATTCTCTGGTTTTAAACTCTTCCCTTTAGCAGCTGACCTTGGAAAGATACACATTGCAAGTTTAAGGTGGAGAATTTCAGAGAAAGGTAAACTATGAGCCAAGGATGTATGACAAGGTAATTGTCAAGAACAAATGTGGACTTTCTGTGGGTCAACAGTTTTGAAAAAGTGAAAAAGAGAAAACTTCCCAAGTACAGAGTGGATTCCTTACAAGAAAATCACTGCTCTTGACTCAATCCTTCGCCATGTTGCAGTCAGCTCACCAACTAAGTGTGCGTCTTGCTGGGCCCATTTTCCCATGGTCTGTAGAAGGCGCTGTGAAGCACATCCTGTTCTAGCTCTGGGGCCCTTCCCCCCTCTGCAGCCTTACCCAGTGCAGAAAATGCGCCCCCTACTGACTTCAACACTCATCGCCTTTAGCCGACTTGGCTGCGGTGCATTTTGGGTGGGGGCTGGTATTTTCATGGCCATAAACCAGAAGCAACAATGCAGATTTATAAAGAAACTATATCGAGCTAGCCAAGAGATTTCTTTTTTCTTTTCACTTTGAAGTTCAAGACACAGGCATAAGAAGCATCAGGGATGGGTACTGGGTGGGTGGGGATGGACAGCATTAAAATGGCAAACACAGGAAACAGTTTTGTTCTTTTTCCCTCTTAAGCCTTTGTCTGTGAAATGGGGGTATGTCAAGAACTGTCCAGAGAAACCGGTGAATGCAAGAATCAGGAAGACAACGTGGGTGTGTGTGTGGCTAAAAAGGATATTAGACTTTAGAGCCCAATCTTGGACAGAAGAGGAAGAGAAGCAATCGCGCCTTTTCCAGCAGACAGGCATCCAGGTTGGGGGGCAGCCCAAAGGAAAGAAGAGGTGAATAAGGGTGGTCACACAAGAGAGTGGTCAAAGAACTACTCATTCATTGCATTAAAAACAAAAACACTTTTTCGCAGCTTTCTGAATTTCCATTTTCTGTCGTCTTACTGCAAAGTTGGGGCTCAGACAGCTCGTAAGAGACCGTGCTGACCATGCAAGTGAGACTGAGAAAAGGGGGTGGTGGAGGACTGCGACTAAGATAGGAGTGAAGCTTAGCATGTTGGGGAGGCACAACTGCACCCGGGAGGCAAAGACTTTTACTCCTTACCATGCATGCTCCCCGCCCCCCAACCTACTCCCCCCTCCCCCAGCTAGGGGTGGGCAGACCTGGCAGAAGGCTCGTTCCAAACATTTTAGGGTGTGCGTGGGGGGCTCCTTTTGGGAAGGGGGCGGAAGGGATTAGTCCCAGGGATGCGCGAAGATCGGCTCCGGCTGGGGGCGGGGTGGGAAGATGCCTTTAGCTGCAAAAGCCCCGGGCGGCCAGGTAGGCTGCTGGCGTCTGCAGGCTGGCGGGGCGGAGAAGGGGGTCGGGCTGCAGGAGGAGGCGCCTGGACCCCCGACCAGCGCCCAGGTAGCGGTCCGCGCTGGGACGGGCGGCGCGTCCGCAGCGCAGTGTGCACAGCAGCGTGAGCACCCGGAGGTGCAGCGCGAACAACAATGCGGCCCGCGCTCCGGGCGGGCGGCAGGCGCGGGACAGGGCAGGGCCGGGCCCGCGCCGCTTACCTTCACTCGGCCTCGAGGCGCGCGCGGGGCCGGCGTGCTCCGGGGCCGGGCGGCGGCGGCGGCGGCGGCGGCGGGCGGATGGCGGCGGCACGGCGAGGGCGGGGAGGGCGCGCCCGGAGCCTCGTCGCGCTCGGTCTCGGCGGGCTCCGGCTCGCGCCGCGACCGCGGCTGCTGCCGGGGGGCGCGGCGGGCGCAGCAGAGCGGCGGGCGGCAGCGACGGCACGAGCGGCTCCCTCCAGTCTCCGCGCGGGCGGCGGCAGCAGCGTCGTCGAGCGGTGCAGACAAAGGAGGGGCGGAGGGAGGAGACGGAGGGTGTGGGAGCGGCGGCTTCACCGGCGCGGGCGGGCGGCGGCGGCCGCGCTTCCCTCGCTCCTCGGCAGCGGGAACCGAGAGAGGGAGCTGTGTCTGAGGAGACGCCAAAATCCCCCTTAGCGGTGCCTGCGGGAGGGGGAGGGGGCACAAGATGGCGGCGGCCGGGGGGGCGGGAGTTCAGCTCATGGATCTCGGCGGGCGGCGGAGGGGAGACCGGGCCGGCGGAGGCGGCAGCGGCAACGGGCGGGGGAGGGGGCCGATCCCGCGTCTCCCCTCGGCAGACAATACAAGCGCCTCGGAGCGAGTCCCCGAACCTGCCCTAGCCAAAATGGCGGCCGAGAAAGAGCGGAAGTGACGTAAGTAACTCATTAGCATAAGAGGACTCATTGTCCAGCCAAGAAGGGGGGGGGTCATGGGGGACAGCAGCCCTTCCCTCCATGCCCCCCAGGGGCAACTCTACTACTTCCCTGTGTGCTTACATCGGACTTTTCTTGGGGGAGGGTGGCCCCAGCACCCCCACCCCCGCCTAAGGGGAATTATATAATCCCCACTGAGGGGGAGCTCTCGCGAGAACCTGGAGGATTTGCCATTGACCCACTAGGAGGCGCCGCGGATAATGGCCGCAGTGCGCTCCCAGGCCCCGTGTGCTCAGCAGGCGCCTTCCTCTGGCCACAGCGCCAGCGGCGGAGGCAGAAGCAGCGGGCCGCAGCACGCCCAACACTCTGTCAGGTGGCCGCGTGGGGATCCCTGCGCGGGCCCAGCTGAGCCTGGACTACATCTGGAAGGAGGGGTGTGCAGGGCAGCTCCACGTGCTTGGAGGCGCGCGCTCACGGGCTGGGCGCAGCTGCAAGGGGCAGGGACACCTGCCTCCAATGAGGTGTGAGGGCCTCGTGCTCCGCAAGCCTGCTGGAGGGCGCGCGACCCCTGCGCCCTGGGCCCTCCCTGCTCAGGGAGTACTTGGTGGCAGGGGCTGCATTTTAGCCTGCTGTTGCCTGGGACTGGACAGTCTTCCAAACTCAGCCATGGACTCCTCTCCTTGGCCTGAAGAAACAAGTGGAATCCCAAGGACTTTGAGGCCACTGGACTGGTGAAGCCAAAGGATGAAGTGACACTGCCAGTAGCCCTCCAGAAGATCCTTAGGAACACTTTGCAATTGTAGGGCCCGTCAGTTCTAGCGCTCCCACAACGTGGACAGGATGGCAGCACGTAAACAGAGTGCTCCCAAACTTTAGGCCAGCCCCAACGCCTCAGCTCACCTTTGATGGTAGAGTGCATCAGAGAGCGTATCATTGGTGAAACGTATTTAAAAGGAATAAATGCCACTGGTGAAGGGTTAACCAAGGCTAGTTTTTCAAGGTATGGTCTGTAAATACACCTCTTCTACTATTTTTTTAAGTCTACAAGTTAAAATAACTTCAAATAATACTAGTGTCTCTAAAGGACCTAACAACCTACTATGAATTGTGGTTAACTACACTCAGTGTTAAAGACTTTGGTGAGTAAGTTTAACTTTCAATCCAACACACTATTAATTTCTGCAATTTCATTAACATTAAAAGCTAATTCAGTATGTCAATAGGAAACAGGAGTTGGAAAAGTTGTTTTTTAAAGAAAGCAGTAGGGGAGACTTGGGCAAAGCATTTGAGTCAGGAAGATAAGTAATCTACAAAGTACATAACAGGCAGAGAGCTGCTATGAAATAAGCAAATAGGGTAATCTTTTAGTTTTCTTAGATTTCATACAGTGACACTACAAATACAAAGAACAACATCTGGATTTCATCACTGTCCTCATGAAGCAAAAAAGGGTGCAGATTAAGATGTAAATGTTTAAAAAGATTTTGCAGTGTTTATGTCACCAGATTTACTACAAAAATACATCTAGATGGTCCAGATTCTCTTCTAAATGATTTCCTAATAGCCTGTGTTCACTGCTTAGTTCCAACACTGGTAAAGTGTTGAAACGGTTGTGGGAAGAACTGAAAAGACAGAAAAGTTACCTAGTCTAGTGAGGTATGAGAAAGCAATGCCTTATATATGATAAGGTTCTCAATTCTGCTCTACATACTTCAGACTGAAAACCAGGCTTAAAGAGAATAAATTCTCAACACTCCAAAAATATCAAGCACTTTATAATTCTGTTACTATAGCTTAAAACTAAGTTTACATGAAGCACTGATGAATCTTCTAGTTATTAATGATAAGGGAGGTCACTTCCCCAAGGAAAGCTGGTCCCGGTGGGCCAGCTGAATAGCTCTGGGCAAAACAGAATCACAATGGCTCTTTTTAGAATGTGCAGTAAGGGTTTAACTATGGGAATGGAGGAGTTTAAATGTTCAAAACTACAAAGGTTTTAGTTTATTATTTCTGATAAGAGCAGAGAGAAACGTAAATGATTTATCAGACTTTTTTTTGTCAGCAAATTAAGCCCCAAAATGTAAATACATACTGTTCACCAAATGTGAGTGGCTCAGACACACTGTTCTTTTTACTTACAAAGAAAAGCCAACTCGGCTCACTTGTTCAAGTATATTCTTACTCAAATTTTAAAAATAAATGACTTAAAAGCAATGCTACATTTAGAAAATAATTATCATTTTTGAAGTACCTGTGTTAGAGAAGGTAGGTAAATGAAACATTTGCTCTGGCTTTTGGAACACAGGTATCCTACAGAAGCGACTATATTTCATAAGCATAATGAACATTCCTCTCTCAACATCAGGCGTAAAGAGCTACGAATTGTTTTTGTAAGAAATATTTCAGATTCTGTTCCATTTAAGAAATTCTCCAATCACATATTCTAAAGAAACCAGCAACATTTAATACGAAAATCCATGTGTATTTATTTACGTCTTAATACAGCAAAATGTATATGAAAATTGAGAGCATTGCTCATTAGGCTAGTAACTTTAACATTTAGTTTGAAGTAAAAAATGGAGTTTCTCCAGATAATATATTTGTATAAAATTTACCTTACCTTATGATTTATGTTCTAAGAGTACATGTTATAAAAATCAGTAAGGGTGCCTTTTATATTTCAATTGAAATGAACATGGTAAGCAGAAATGAGTAACTTTCTTTTATGTAGTAGCAAAAAGAGTCAATAATCCTTTCAAGAAAGAGACTATCTCATTTCCTCCCAGTTTGGATTCACCATAAACACGATCCACAAATGATATTGGAACCTGGTTTTAAAAAAAAAAAAAGTCCATGTTAAAAGTCAGTCTTTTAAAAAAAAGACAAACTAGAAGAGCAGCTCAGGAGGGTACTTATTACCACAACAGAAGTCTTTCATGGCAGTTCAGGATTAGGGGATTCCTGAAAGTACTCACGCATCTGAATTAAACATGCACTTATATGAATCAAATCTACAACTGTTTGAAAAGCACTGCTGCTGAATATTATGTTGGTTTACTCAAGTTTCAGCTCCATTTCAAGGAATAACTATAAAGGTAAAGTGGCCTTTCACTTGGCTTACTCAGGTTCTAAAGTTTAGTTTATTAGTGTTTTACCATTAAAATCTTGTAATTTCCAGAAAAGAAGCTGCATTCTAGGGTAGCTGATCTCTAGGCCAGTGTTTTAGTTAAGAATCTTCTCTAAGAGATTATTAGCCACGAATTCCCCAGGCCCTTGCTCTGTAATTCCTGCCCGTTTTTCATGTATTCACAAGACACAGGATTCATCACTGTGTTCAAAGTATGGCGGGTGTTGGTTACAGAAGGAAAAGTGGCAGGCAGACTCAGGCCAAAACACGGACTGGTTAGAGGGAAGGACGAGGAGAGAGGAGGGACCTGTAACTGTAATGATTTAAAGGGAAAAGCTGGGGTTTGAGAGGTAGTCATTGCTTGTCTAGATGTACAAGGTTCTGGGTTTGACTGCTAGCAATGAATGGAAAAAAAGAGGAAAAGGTGCTTTTAAGTTACGGTAAGTCGAACATCAATTTGCAATGAATTTGGATTTTCACCCTTTACTGCATTGGCATTTTAAACAACTGGACCACAACATTAGTAGTTACAAAAATTACACTTTTCACCATAAAAAGTGGTGTTCCTTTATGAGGAATATGACATTATCAGTTACATACCTCTCCAATTGTGTAATTCAACTGCCTTGCTCGAATGATCATTTCCATCTGGAAGACATAGCCTTTAGAAACACATTTTTCTATTAATTTCTGTAGAACTTCTTTTTTGTATAATCTGTAAGAAATCACAATATAGATGAGAATCTGCTAAGTATATTTGTTTACATGTATCTTGAACTTTCAAGGAGTTCACTGGTATTTATAAATGCTAAAATACTCACTACCTATTTTTATAGACAACAGTTTTCATAGTTGATGATAATTTGTCCCAAAACCATGAGATTTGCTAACCAATATAATTTTGAAAATGAATTTTCAGTAAGAATTACCTTCCTATCGTATTATCAGGAATTAAAATATAGTAAAACTAGTCACTTGATGCAGAACTACTCATTTCGATTAAATTTCTTAAAATATGCTTAAAGGTGAAAGGGGAGAAACTGGCCCAAGTATTGGAACGAGTGCATTGTTACCATTTGTCTGGTGGTCTCCCCAAAGCCTCACCCAGTCATGGGAGGAGTCTTTTCAGAAGCGGTGTATGTGGAGTGTGGTGCGTGAGCAGTGAATCAGTCCACGACTGGCACAGTCCTGACTAGGATCAAGGGTGTCAGGGCCACATCTAACCTAAGGCAGGGAGCCTGCATACAATAGGACAGAAAGGGGCTTGTCCCACCCAGGGTGATGGTGCAGTCCTGAATCCCAGGGCCCAAAGGCTGAGACAGGAGGCTCAAGTTTCAGACTGCATTTCAAGGAATAACTATAAAGGTAAATTGGCCTTTCACTTAGTTTTCTCAGTTTCTAAAGTTTAGTTTTATTAGTGTTTTACCATTAAAATCTTATAATTTCCACAAGACAAAGCTGCATTCTGGGGTAGCTGACCTAGGAGCTTAAGGCCAACCCGGGCTACATTCTGTGTTCAAGCCTAGCCTGAACTACACTGTGAGGGTGTGCCTCCCTCCTGCCCCCCAAAACAGGCATGGCCCTCCCTTATTATTTTTGCTATTTTGTGGGCATCATGAATGGCTTCCTAAGATGGCCCTCTGGTAACACCCTTCCTTGGAGCCAGCCAATTATGGGTTGAAACTTCTATAAACTGTGAACCAAATAAACCTTTTCCTTCTGGGTGTAAGTATTTTGTCTCAGCAACAAAAAAAGCAAGACAGGGATTGCCAGGTAAGATAAAGTAACTACACGCACTGTATGACAAATACCCAGTAATCAGCAGACATCCCCTCGAAAACAATTGCTTCTTAGCATTTACTCAGTAAACTCTCTAGGGTAAGTGGAAGTCCTTAATCTGTTTAGGTACCACGGGGCAGAGGTGATCAGAGATTAGATTATTCACTAAGATAAACTGGGGGGGGGCGACTTTCTTCAGTAACTTCAAATAGTGAGGGGCTCCCTATTGTCAGAGGGGTTTTATTTTCATTTAAATCAGTGGTTACTGAGGCATCCATTTCTACTTTTATTTAAGTTAGGAGTTCTTAACAGGAGCCTTAACAGTTCTTTTTAGAAATTAAGATCATCTGATTTTACAATGCCTAAGGGTGGTCATGGAATCCAGATTTGTAGGCTGCTTCTAAGAATACCCTACCTTTTGTTTGGCTTTCAGTTGGGTAGGCAAGATAGCACAGCCTAAGAGTTTAGTATGTATATTCTTTCATCCACAGAGATCCCACAAAAAGAATTTTAAGAGTTTGGAATAAATATGGTGAGAAGAAAACATGATGATAGTAGTACTTATTTATTCAGTAATGAATTTGTGGCAGCAATGGGACATGCTTTAACATCTGTAAATGTGAGATTGGACAATTTTTTTAAGAATCATTTTCTAAGACGTTTTTCTTCACTGTCTTCCTCTTCTCTACTCTTCCCACAGCATCTTTAAAATTATTGTGTATGTAGGTGTATAATCCCATGAAGTGGATTAGGAAAAGGCGGCCTTTAATACCGAATTGCTTTACATGAGGCTGTATTGAGTTTTGGCAAAAGGTACTGCCTCCTAACTCTGTGGATGACAACTTGAACTGTATTTCATAAACCATTACTTTTATGACAAGACAATGGGATTTAACCTTTTAAAATCTGGGCAGTTAACAGGCCCTCTTTGGTTTCTGGCTGCTCTGTCCTTTGTACACCACACACCCGTCCCTGCTGTCCCCGACGCTCCTTCCCTCAGGGCTGCTGGTCTCGGGGAGTTCCCCTCACTCATTACTCTCCCTGCACACCCTCTCCCCACAACCCACGCAGCTTCACTAAAAATCATCACAGCTGTGCCCTGTGCAGTTCACGCTGGCCTGCCCTCTTCTGTAGAGACTGTGTCACTATCCATCCTCTGCCTTGCTGCTATGTGGCAATCAGAGAGCTTAAGTAGATCATGTGATTCTTTTGCCTTAAAATTGGAACTGACAGGGTTATTATTGGGTTTCTTTCTCTTATTTATACCAAACTCTGCTTTCTAACTTAAGTTTTTAGTTCTAGAGGCTTCATTTTTCTTTTTATCTGGCAATCCGGCATTCAATGACCAACTTCTTATTTGTATATCATTTAGGCACCTGAGAATCAACATTACTTAATGGACAACAGCAAGTATCAAATCAAATAAAAGGCCTAGCCATAAAAAGCAGTTCACAGCTCCTGGAGCAAATCTAGAACACTACACACATAAATCCTCAGGAACAAATACAAAAAACTCCAGGGACCAAATCTTTGGTCCAATAAAACCAGGAAAAGGGGAGTAGGATGGAGAGGTATAGTGATATTGCCTACATTTGATCCTGGGTTCCACCTCAATATTGCAAAAAGAAGAAAAGTAACTGAAAAGTTTCACATAAGGATCTTAAACTTTCGTGCAGATAATGCTGCATTTATACACACTGCAGAAACTACTGAAATCTGTACCAGCTTTTGGAGCACACAATTGCGAAAGCACCGTTCAAAAGGAGTTGCTGAGCCTCATTTCACGTGAAGAGCAGCACTGCTCCCCCGAGCCCTATATTCACCTTCCTAAGAAAAATACTTCTGTGTATAATATTTAGGCTTCACCAACAGCTCTTAATGAACTTCCATTTGCTTTTGCAGCAATCCAGAACAAAACTGAGCTGAAATGAAAAGTATTTCTTTAAAACAGCCACTGTAACACAAGAAATGAAGGCAACAAGTTACCAATAGAAAATTATACTTTACCTGAAGCTTCCTGTTAAGTCAGATGCTCCTGGTCTCAGCAAAATCTGAGTTACAAAATTAGCCCCACGGCTGCCAGATTAAACAATCAGATTTTTCTATTAAAATATAAATAATTTATAAACTAGAGCAAAACCATGTCCAGAATGCTAAAAATGCTACATCAATTTTATAAACAGAATACTAATTTCACAAAAATGATGCACCAATTTCATAAATGTAACACAACTGCACATAATGTTAATTCTGTACAACGAAGAAATTTTTAGTGAAATGAGACCCGATACTCATCTTTCAGGAAATAGGGATTTTTATTCCCTGATAGTGAAATTTAGCAATCACAAAACTTCACAAAAAAAGTATTTACCAACAGTCATTATCTGTAATTATCAAGTCATTCTCTAGAATTATGGACACCTGTGTCAGGCAGAAAAGTATCACTGATTTAATAAGGAATTTGTTAAACAAGAGAGAGATAAGATTTGATAAAGACTTTCCCTTTCAAATTCTAGTTAAGGACAAAAGGTAAGTAATTGGTCAGCCCACATATTATTAGTTACAACCAAATGATACAACTGGAAGGTTGTAATGTTTCTGGGATGCCCTGATTCTAGATAATGGGCGAGTGACCAAATCCAGAGTGTGTCTGAAGATCACTGACTGCACGAGAGAATCGGTCAGAAGCCTGTGAAAATGCTGATGCTTACAGCCCACATTTGGAGACTCATTCACTCATAGTGGTAGTTTTTCATGATTTTCTCCATACACGATTGCAGGGTAGAAAACCACTCCCTTATTTCATCCATTTTATTTCATGAGTGTTCTTAAATGTTTTAAATGACTGAGGTGAATTTAATGAAATCTTAAAAAGGAATAAAGTGGGTGATAAAGAAAGACATACATTTCACTTTCCCATAACCCTGAAAAGTACAAGTGAGTTCACTAAACATGATAAAAAAAATTCAGGGTAATGCAAGGAATATAGTTCATTAAATGACAAACTTATAACAGTTATAATCTGAATCTAAGGCAGCATGATAACCCAAACACTACATTCTAGTGGTTACACCAGTAACAATAGCACATGCATATACCTGATTATTTTTCTTTTCAAATCCCAGCCATATACTCCTCCATTTCCTTTATAGCGAGTTCCAGAGACAATATCAAAATTACTCTCCTTTTGTTTTCTGTAGAAAAAAAATAATACTGTCAATTGTAAAAGGCTCTTGCTTCAACACAATTTTCAGCAGCTACACAAACAGAACTTCACAGAAACACTAAGAAAAAAAAACAAAGAAATATATGGACTATCTACTGAAAGACCTTTCAAAACGGGGTTTCAAACCTGATTCTATTTCACATGTAATCATTTTTGAGAAAAAAGAAAATTACATGAGAGTACTACTTGATGTCTGTATCATGTGATATCATCCTAAGAATATTAATAAGATTATCAATTTTTCCAGTATCTTTTCTATTCTGCTCAAACCCTGGCAACCCCAACCCCAAGTAAACACAATACAAAACTAGTGTGGCAGTTCTCTAAATCTTTCCCTAGCTTTTGGCAAACAACGAGAGACGCATCTCCCTAGTTTTCGTTCCATTTACAAAGCTGGAATCCAAAATACCTCACTTTGTAACTTGCTTTGTCAGTTAACGTACATCACAGAATCACAGACATCCCCACAGATGAACAGAGATCTTCCCCATTCCCTTTAATAGCTCCAAAAATAGTAAAGACTATTCAACTAAGATCTATGTGGCTGCAATTACAAAACCACAATGAATAATACCTTAATAAATTCTAACAGATACTGTGCTAGAAATCATTTTCCAAAGGTTACAGCAACTCACACTTTGTTCAGCAGTATTTCAATGTATTCATTTCTTACCATCTTGAGTGTAGTGGATACTACTTCTCTAAACGTTTAACTTTGACAAACCAACAGGTAATAATTATTTTAATTTGCATTTTCTCCACTGCAGGCCTAGGTCTGTTATGTTAGATACTTTAGATACTGTTATGTTAGCATCATACAAGGCCAGCTTGCATTTCTCCACAATTTTCTTTTCAACTCTATTGGTTCCATCCCACTATCACACCAAAGATGTGTCTGAGTATTAATATACAAGCAGAGTGGGTCTAAGGTGACTTTCTAGAGATCAAAGCATGAGCAATGGCTCATTTCATTTAAGAATTTCAAAGCACAGAGCTCTGTGTTAACTAAGAAATGAAAGAGTATGCCTGTGGGCCTGGAGAGCAAAGGGAAAGGAGCACAAGGCCAGGTCAGAAGGCACGCGGTATGCACAGTTCACATTGTCATCTCTATGATCTGAAAACATTTGGGTAGGGGGCTGGGGATTTAGCTCAGCGGCATAAGCACCTGCCTCACAAGCAGGCAGTTGTGAGTTCGATCCCCGGTACCGATAAAAAAGAAAAAGACAAAAAAAAACCCATGTAGGTAAACAAAAAACTGATCTGTTCTTTGTCCTCAGGTGTCCTAAAATACCTCATTTAACCAAATATCTATTATGAGCCCCAAATCCATATATATATGTGTGTATACTTGTTGATTTTTGGTAAAGGAATTAAACTCATGACCTCAACTTGCCAGCTGTGCCACTGAGCCATATCCCTGGTCCTCCCAATTATGTTCGATAGAAAACTTAAAATAGCAAAGTACAAAACCATTAAGACAAGTGATTTTCATCATTTTTTCCAAATATTAGAAATAGTACCTACCTAATGAATTCAGGAATAAACTTTGGCTGAAATGTAGAGGGAAGAAAAATTAGTAAAGTAGGGTAAGACTACCATAAATAACTAGTAAGCAAGAATGTTACTTACATGGTGTGAAAGATCAGCATCCATAATAATTATGTAGTTTCCTGTGGCGTGCTTCATTCCATGAATATATGCAGTTCCTAAAAATGAAAACATGCATTAAAGAAAGTCACCAAAAATGTTCAGCTATACAACTGAATGGAGGATATTACTTAGGACTCAAAGCCCCATGTTAACCTTCTAGAAGTAATGCTAACAAATGGCTAACTTTCCATTAACTATACAGTTCCTGTGTGTCCTAAACACAATCAAGCTGGTAGCTGGTCACCCCCCTTTCCATTCTGATGCCAATGTAACAGAAGAAAAAAACCACACCTCTACAGTAGTTCACTCAAGCAATGCAAAGTTACTGAAGTCTTAGGACACATAAACATTATCACTCTCATAGTTTTAAAAACTATCTTCACACTGATGCCCCCTCAGTATCTACCCAAGACACTAAAGCCAACTCACATTTACCCATCAGTTTGTCGCTTTCTTTCTTTCTTTCTTTGGATATTTCAGAAATTTCTAATATAACGTTCCAAAATAAGGACTCTAAAGCCTACCCCTAACTAACCACATCTTAGAAAATGCCACAAACTGACAAGAGATGATCTTTGATTTCTTTGGTGTTACCAATGATTTCTAAACTATGTGTCATTAAGTCCTATTGATTCTATATTCAAACCATCTTTTCATTACCTGCTCTTGGCTCCAGCCTCATCCTAGTCACTGCAAGTTTCCCTGCTTCTGCTCTTCCTGGCACTTCCACAAGAGCTGCCCACTGAAAGCCTTCTACAGTCTGCCCAGTCACACTCGACCTCTACTCTGGTATATCAGGCAAGAAATGATCCAGCCACCTTTATGCCTCAAGGTTCTTACTCAAGATTTGGAATGTTAACAGTCACTGCTTGGGAGCTGAAACTGAGAATTCCTGCCTTCTCTGGCTCCAAACCATCATAATTAGGAGGAATAACTTCTAATGTTTGAGACAGCACAATATGATAAATATGGTTGGCAACAATTAATTGTTTTGTGGGGATTTTTGTTTTTGTCTTTTTGAGATAGAGTCTCTCTGTACAGTTCAGACTGGCCTTGAACTCACTCTGTAGCCAGACTGATCTTGCAGTGATTCTCCTGCCTTGCCTCCCCAGTGCTGGGATTACAAATGTGTACCACTATGCCCAGCTCTGTATAGTTCTAAATTGGATTCTGAATGTTTCAAATACAAACTGGTGTTTTACCTGACTGATGTGCCAAATACTCCAAACTGGATGATCATACATTGTATATATATACTGAAATGCCATACTGTACCCCACAAATGTTTAATTACCATGTGACAACTAAAAATAAAAGTATTTTGTAAAAATAATGTCTCACTTGTTGCTGCTGAGACAAAATACCTGATGCCCAAAGATAGGGGAAGAAAGGACTGGTTATAGTTTGTAGAGGTTTTAGTCCATAATTGGCCAGCTCCAAGGCAAGATGACATCACAGAGGAGAAACAGTTCATGGCAAGCAGAAGATAGAAAAAGCAGAAAGGGATGACCACAGCTCTTTCTGTCCCTTATATCTTATTCAGGCTGCTTAGGATTTAATCCTAGTCTCCCTGCACCAATCCATTCCAGCATAAACTCCCTAAGATCCCAATACCTTTGAAAAAGCCCCATCTATGACCACACGAGATTTTGGAGGACATCTAAACACAAGCCATAACTAACCACAAGAATCTTCTAGCAAGACTGAGCTCTTTTAACAACTTTGGTTAAGAATGACTATCTAGTTTTTACATGTACTGCTGACTGGTCAGTAATTCTTGAAAGCTTTCATGGCAAGTTTCCACATTACTTCCCCAAACAACCCTCTGGATCCTAATATTCAGAACATTTGATGATGCCAGAGATTCAGAACACTTCCACATAGTAGATTTCAGTGTTTAAGAATTACGCTTTTTTTATACTTTCTCAAATTTTTCATTAAAAGAGTACAATGCTCAAACATTGACTTTGAGTAAATTCACTGTTTCACCTTAGAATTACTGAGCTTATCTGAGATATTCTATAATTCACTATGTTTAAAGTGGAAAGCCCTTCTTTTTAGAAATAAAGAATTAACTTTCTAAACATACTTTAAAGAATGTTCAAAGATTAGCAGCTAAAGCAGTATGCTGGTCCACAGCATCCCCCTCAAATCCATTCTCTAGCCCTTCCCTACTCTACCTTACACTGCAAGGAACCATTTTCCCAGGTTCTCTTCTCAACTGGCTCTCAGACAGCTTTTGGAGGCATGCTGGAAGGCTGCAGCAGGGGAAAAGGCTTTAAGTATCCATCCTCTTTTACTGTCTGTCCCAGCAGACTGTGCATCTTCCCTGGTTCCCACTCCTGCCGGACTCCCCAACCCTGTAATTCTGGGTCCCACTAGGTAAAGCAGGTTGGTGGAGTCTAAACATTACCTCCTCTCATCACTGCCCCACCCTGATAATAACCTCTAGCTATTAGTAATCTTAGTAGTTATGCTGTTCCATCTGGGTTCTCAATACCTTCTTTGCCTGTGTAACAAGATACCTTGTGTTAAATTCCTTACACTGGACATCTTGTGAATTGTATAGGTTCCTCAAAAATTTAATAGCAATTCCATGTGACCCAAACATACTCCACTGGGTATCTTCCCAAAACAGTTGAAGACATACAGTGCCTACATGCATATCCATATTTACAGTAGCACAACTCACAATAGCTAACTCTTGGAAATGGCTTGTATGTTCATCAACAGATGAAAGGATAAAGAAAATGTGATATATATACATAGTGGGGTATTATCACATAAAGTCATTTGTAGGAAAGCGGATGCACTTGCGACCATACTGTTAAACGAAATAAATCATTCACTTAAATGTTGCACGATTTCTCTTATGTGAGAAACACAAAGTTTAAATAACTTAAAAAGCAAAAGACAGGTAGGCAGACCTTTTGCAGATGGGGTGGAAATGCAGAGATGGGGGGGGAAGGTAAGCAGGAGCATAAAAGGGAACTAAAAAATATTAAGATTTCATATGTGTATCTACCAACCCCCTGTGGTGAATATATTCATTATGTACCTCAAAATGTACCAACAAGAAAAAGAAAAAAATAATAAAACATAAATAAAGAAGTGCAGTGTTGTCTGTGTTTTTTGCACTGCCATGAGTGGTACACACCAACCCAAGTTAAACCACTTTACTATCTTTACGGTCATTAAAAAACCTCATAGGAGGTAACTATGTTTTGGCCCAATTTCATACTGGGAAAATGCACACTGGATAATTTTATCAAGGCAGAGAGCATTTACGAAAAGTTAAGAGATTCTTCTTACCGAGTCCCAACTTTTTCTCCCGTGGTCTTAGAAGCTATAGGAATAAGAAACATTTCAACACAAAATTTAACAATCTGTTTAAAAATTTATTTTACTTTTATAAGTACATATTCATTTTAACAAAAATAGTTGCATTTACAGATCTTAAAGCACAATATGCTTAATATTTTTTACCAATGTTAAAAAAAATACTAGTAACAAAACTTAACAAAACTTTTAAAAGAAAAGCAACATTCTTTAACCCTAAGCTTACAGGCAAATTTTTAACTTTTTCTAGAGTCATCTAGTCTGTTAAACTTTATTATCTTTGTATTTATTACTTGAGCTATCATTTTAAATAATAGCTATTAAGTATTTCCTAAAAAAACTAATGGCTTAATTAATTAATCTCTAACTGTTCCCACTCTGTTAGCCTTGTTTGAGTTTCCCATCTCCCTTTGTGATTTTAAATACGGACAGCAGTCCTCTTCCACCGACTTATCTTTACTCTCTACCTAGACAACCTCAGGTCATTTTCTATTGGGCTAATAAGGTCATATGTCTAGCAAAACAATTAAGTTCTTTATTTATAGTTTGCCACATATTTAAGTCTTTTTCGTGTTGTATGAAAGGAGAGAAGGTTAGTCTTTTGCTTTGTATTTGGACCCTGACTTTTCTGGTTAGGCCTTTCCATTCTGGCTGGAAAGTAGTAAGCATACCACATCCTCTTCTTGCATTGCCTGTGTATAGGCAGACTACCTCAAACTGCACATCTCTAAACAAAGCATTTTCAGTTCAAGCTGAACAAATTAATTTTTTTCCCTTTCTCTTTACTACATGCACAGTGCTATAGGTCTTGTGGAAGAACGAACAAAAATACAATAAACACTGCTATCCAGAAAGCGCTCACAGGGAAGAAAACTTACGTAATTCAAACAATCATCTATCATTAGAAGTCAATGAGCAATACCAGACAAGACATATCAGATCATAGTGAGATTTTAGTTGATTTTGTAATTGTTACTGATAACATACTAACTCCATCTTATATCTGCTCTAAAGAAGCGACTCTTTTAAAGCTAATCTGAGATTTTTCTGTAGTACTATTTCAGCCAGAAAAATCTATCTTAAAATGAGCACTTTATACTCAATTTTTAAGAATTCCAAAGGCTCAAAACAATGTGACTTAACAATGTTACATATGTTAAGAGCATTATGGAGTAGTTAAAAGAAATGTGGGATTCTGGTAACAAAAGATCTCCAGAATAGAATTAAATAGTAATGGTGTGGGGCTCAAGTGCCTGCCTGGCAAGCAGGTCATGAGTCCAATCCTTGGTACAAAATAAGGGGGGGCGGGGGGGGGTACTGAGGTAGCAATGATGGAGGAAGAATGAAGTTCTGTTTAGAAAGAAAAACACAGGAGCAGAAAGACCACAGCTGAAGGCCAGCCTTGTGAGTTCAAGGCAGCCTAGCTTACTAGTTACACTACTTAGTTCTACACATGTATGCACACACACACATGTGTACATATAGGTATGCACACACACATAAAAGTACGCCAAAGTACTGACCCAAGTCTGCACTGGGAAACTTACGTAATTCAAACAATCATCTATCATTAGAAGTCGATGAGCAATACCAGACAAGACATATCAGATCATAGTGAGAGTTTAGTTGACTTTGTGATTGTTACTGATAACATACTAACTCCATCTTATATCTGCTCTAAAGAAGCGACTCTTTTAAAGCTAATCTGAGATTTTTCTGTAGTACTATTTCAGCCAGAAAAATCTATTTGAAATGCAGAATATGAAGGTCCATCAAAAGCAAGCTTTCCTGGAAACAGTCACATTTTGTAAAAATTGATTTAAGCCCAGCATAGTGGAACATGCCTGTAATCCCTGTACTGGGAGGCTGAGACAGGAGGATTACTTCAAGTTCAAGGCCACCCGGGGCTACACAGTGAGACTCTGTCTCCAAAAGAAAAAAACAAAAACAAAAAATTTTACTTCTTATGTGCTAAGATCAAGTTGTTTCTGATTAGCACGCTCTACTTTTAAAGTCTTACTTCTACTCTTCACACCCACCTCCTGCACCGATCTGATGGCCTCTTTTCTAGACAGATAGAACATAAGCGAGGAACCTGCACTCTGCAGCCACATCGCTTTGGTTTGGGACTTGCAAGCTGCCCATCTGCAACATGACTGTGAGCACAAGAGCGCGTCCCTCCCTCGGCTGGCCTGAGGAACAAGCAGTGAATTCACACACAATGCCTGCAAGAGTGCAGCCACACTGTGTCTGAAGTGTATTTGCTTAAAACATACTTTAAGTGATATATAATTTGACTGGTAAAAAAATTACTTTGTTCAAAAACATTATTTACAATGGTGTATGCCTATAATCTCAGAACTCTGGAAGGCCGAAGTAGGAGGACTGCAAGCTTGAGACCAGCCAGGGCAGCCTGGTGCTTTATGTCTCAAAAATAAATTAATCTTAAAAAAGGGAACATCAGAGATATAGCTCATGACAAGGCCCTGGCTTCAATCCCCACACAGGAGGATGGGGCAGGGAGGTAGTGAGAAGGATGGGACTTATTTTTCCAAAGACTTTCATCACAGCTATCATGCTTAACAACCCATTTTACTATCAAAGGCTTGATGTTTGAGGATGATGAGCTCATTGCCAGACAAGACTTCAGAAAACCCGTCAGTTTATACTTACGTTCACAGTATCTGCATGCACCTGTTTTACTATACTCTCAAACACAATGGGTTTCAAAGAAGAAAATAAAAATAAATCTTCCAGTAAGAAAGGATAATTCTACTCTTCTTCTACTTTATAATTCCTATCAGTGAGGTGCAATTATTTCTCATGTTTATTGGCCATTTATATTTCTTATTTTAGAAATTATTTGTAGTTTGGTTAGGGTACTGATTTTGTTATTATCGTTCTTGGGTATGTTGGGGTAAAAGTTTACTATCTTTAAATAAATCAGTCAAACTCACGTTTGATGTTTTAAAAATAGCAAACATATTCATTACATTTTATTAGAACTTAAAAAAATTACAAAATAATGCTGAAATATGAGTAAACTCTGAGGCTCCCATGTATATTAAGATAACTCCAGTTATCAGTAGTGTATTTCATACCTGATTTGTAAAGATAATACATCTGAAGTGTCCCCATTATACGCATTTGTGCACATGCAGCATACATGAAAGGGTAATCTTAGGAAATTGTGTATGTACAGTATTCATTAACCAGAGATAATCATTTCATAATGTATACATAAATCACATTGTACATTTCAAATATGTACAATTTTGTACAATTACATCTCATAAAGGTTAAAAAATGCAAAACATATATGATTTTATTTCACCTCACAATGGAGGATGAAACTGCATTAAAAAAAAAAATTCACAATTCCTCTGCTTAAAGACCTCCACAATCTCAGACCTCTGCTCTGAAAGCAATGTTAAGACCTTAGGATATGTGCTCCCCATTTTACTGTGGTTCCACCATTGCTGCTAATAAACTAGCAGTGTAACTTTGGAAGATAACTTCTTGTCTGTTTCCTCAGCATAGGATTATAAAAATTTGCCTTCCCTTGACTTTTTTTCAAACATTCATTTCAGCCAGTTTGAAAGGCTCCAACATGGTTTTGACAATTTTCTCCAATCTTCCTGCAAACTAAACATACATATGACACATCAAAGCAAGGAGGAGTCTTGGTGTGGCCTGATTGATTATTTTGATATGGGGGTCTTGATATGGGGTCTTGCTATGCTGATCAGGCAGGTCTGGAGTCAAAGGCTAAAATGATCCTCCTACTTCAGTCTTCTGGAGCATTTGGGACTGCAGGCCCACTACTGCGACTACCTCTACTTTAAGTGTTTTAAAGGATATAGAACAATGAAGGAATAGGGAATTTCACCTGGCACTGCAGGGAAATCATGACAGTGAATGCTCATTTTCTCTCATTATATTTAATTTCATTAGGTTGATAGAAAAAAGGGGACTCTTAGAAGCCAATGTTGTTTAAGAATTTGAAAGGTCAGTTTAGTAGGCAGTCCTTAAAAAAAAAAAAAAAAAAAAATATCAATGAACCACACCCCAAGTCCGAGGTTTTATGATAAAGTATTCAAAATGTCACACCGATATTCCAGATCAAATGGTACCACATAATGCAAAGTCTAGAGCTCCTAAAAGAAAAGCTGGGGAACTGTTGGCCAAAAATATGACTCTAGCATTAGCATTACGTAAAGTCTCTGATAGAAAGCTAAAATGTACTACCTTTTTACTTCCTTCTGTAGTCTCTTTTACAAGATTTTCAGAGGGGTCTTGAGGTTTGGCAGGCCTGATACAGAGGTAAAGAGTCTAGAGGGCGCAGGTGTGGGTGAGTGGTAAGGTATCTGCCTCACACGTACCACCAGGCTTTGGGGTCAGTCCCCAGCATGTGGGGGAGGGAGCTGATGGCAAAGTCTTACACACTTTCCTTAAACTATTCCCCACCAGCCAATCTCCTGTAGCTAACCTTGGCCTCCAAGTGAACAGTAGTTGTAGAAATTATTTGGTCTTAATCAAGAACATTCTGATACATTTTTGGTTGCCACACAGAAAGGAGGGCTGAAACCAGTGTCTAGTGGAGAGAGATCATGGATGCTGCTAAACATCATGTATTACTATAGGAAATCTCCCTCCTATCAAGAAACATGCAACAACAGCACTGAGACTGACTTATAATAAATATAAATTATAAATAAACACCTAATGCCTGGAACTTTCTTCCCAGTCAAAAAAAATGTCTTTAATTATGTTTTTGGTCCAAAAATTATCCAAAGGAAAACACATATTTTTAAGTCCAAACTAGTAATCAAAAATGAAATTTATACCATTGTTACAAATTCTACATTTGCCTAACTTCCTCCTGTCAAGGTATATTAGAAAACCTAAAGTTCAGCATTCAGAAACTCAATCTCCCCTGCACAACACTGTCCCACAGCTAAAAATGAAGATGCAGTGCTCTGGAAAGCCGTTCCTGTCCCACAGGAAGAGAGTCAGCTCTCCCACCTACAAGTTCTGGGCTGCAGGCGGTGCTCTCCATTGAAAACACAAAGTCCTTCCCAAAGGGAGCCAGAGCACACACCACCTTTCCATTTGCCTTCTGAAAAAACTTACCTGCAGACACAGCCGTAAAAAGTTCATCCAATAATCTCAGGCTTTTACTGTAAAATTATCAATGACCAACAAGTCAAAGATACATAAAACTGTATCACAAGGAACAAGCATTTACATCCTAGGGGCATAAGTTGCTTTTTTAAGTTTCTAGGCAAACAGACAGTATTACTTATTATCTTTCTCCCACATAAATATAACTCATGACAGAAAAATGTTCATGTCCTTACAATTTTGTCTGATCCGTAGATCTTTTCCAACTGTTCGGCAACATCCCTTGTTCCATCTGGGCTTCCATCATCTATGATTATAATTTCATAGTTGAATCCACTAAAATAAAAATATTGTATTACTGTTTATAGAGACAGAATTGCAGATTTTAAAATAGTTTAAAAAGTATTAATCCTCACCAATGAATGTGCAGATTTACTATCATGATGTTGTCACTCAGGAAATTCAATTATCAAATGTCAAAGATTTAAAACTTTACTTTTTGAACCTAGTATGTTGCTTTAAAAATGCTTTTTAGACATTTTTACTTAGAAAACATACTTTCAAATGGAAAGAAAATCATAGTACATATGACACACATGATTCCCCATAAAATTGTTGTCTACCGACTGTGAAAATGAAAGTGTGAAACCTTAATAACAAATCAGTTTCGCATAGTCTTTCAAAAGTACTTTAAATGTTAAAACTAAGTAACCCTGAGTCATTACCCTTTTTAATTTTATACTAACACATTAATAAGCAGGAATAAACTGCCAGTTTCATGCTTTAAAAACAGTTTAGAATGGGGTCACAATCTTTAAACTCCTATTTTAGCTAGCTGGAATCATTAACCCATACTACCAAACTTTAAAAAAAGAAAAAGCACAATAGAATTATAGGAGATTTTACTGTGATCCAGAATTACTTTTCACTGATTTTACATGATAGCTTCTATTCTAAAAACAAGTTAACAGAATATTTGGTGAATTAATACTACATAAACATATGTATGATCACTTATCATGTTTCCCTCTATTTGTCCCACCCCATTTTAAGACATTAAGACTTGTAAGAGGAAAGAAAACGAGGCAACTATCTCCTCTTGATTTTGCCTTAAGAAACACAGACAAGGGGCTGGGGATTTAGCTCAGTGCATAAGCACCTGCCTTGCAAGCAGGGCAGTCGTGAGTTTGATCCCTGGTACCGATAAAAAGGAAAAAAGACAAAAAAAAAAAAAAAAAGAAAGAAAGAAAAAAGAAACACAGACAAGTAAATAAACCAAAAGTCACATTCTGTTAAAGGATTTTATAAAAGGACCTGGTAAATTCTGAAGAAACAAAACCCTGATTTTCTATCTTCAGGAACAGATACAATGACTTCAGCCCCGCCCTGTCCCTTAACTTAGGAAAGGATACTTCAACCAGCTAAAACACAAGGATGTTGATTCCATCATATTCATAAGCAAATTATTCTCCTCTCCCTCTACAAACCAGCGAAACCACAGATGGTGAAACAGCTTAAGAAAATAAAACTAAGTTGGTCAAGTGATTTGTATCTGAAAAAAGTTTACTGTTTCGATATTCAAAAGTCCACCTAGAAACCACTAAAAAAATACTGCACTACATAAAAAGAATGAATAAAGGAAAAAACCTCGTACGATAATAATACAAACCCAGAACAAGATGGTTAATATCTCTAATTTGGAAAAAACTTGCACAATCAAATGGAAAGAGCAACTAACTGAAAAAAAGACGAATTAAAACTTTGAGGGGTCATGTGTACAGTTATTTAACGTATAATCAAAAAAGCAATGGTTACACCAACAAACACTGCCAACCCTGTAAGTCTAGTAATACTCAAGTTGACTGATTGTTTGCCAAAACATTGATTCAATACAGACTCACTACAGTATATGTCAAGCACTTCTCTAACTGCTAGAACATAGGATGTGAACAAAGTCCTTATTTCCCTTATAAAGCAAAAGCCAGATAAAACACTGGCTATTACCTGTATTTACTGACATGATCGCGCTAAATACTTACTATAGCCTTACAGAACGTTACTCAACTTTTAAAATAATTTGCTGTTGTGTTGATAGAAAATCTTCAGATTTTTACAGCATGATCCCATTTATTTAGACCCCACTGATAAGATTTTCTGATTTTTTTTCCTTAAAAAATTGCGTAACACTTCAAAAATCAAACTCCAAAATTTCCTGTTTTAGCAACCACAACAAACACCCTAAGGTGATGAGGGGATATTCCCTTTTCTCTCGTTTCCAGCAAGATTATCCAGTCCAACAGTCAGCCGCAGTTGCCTAACCCCACAGGCCAAATCTCACGCTTACATAAGCAAGTACTCGGCACTGAGGCCGGGAGTGATCACGCTAGCTTAGGCTCTCTCGGTACCGGAATCAGATCGCGACCAGCTAGGAGTGAAGCGAGGCTTTCAGCCTCATCACGGAGGCGGGCCGGGGACAAAGGGGGGGGGGGTCGTAAGCAAAAGGCGGAGGAGGACAAGAATTCGTAATAAAGCTGTATGAGTATCTCAGAAAACCCAAGAGCAAGAATGAGAAGCCAGCAGGACCCGAGGAAACCCGCGCTGCAGCCGTCTTTGCCCTCCCCGCAGGGCGGCCTTCCTGAGCGAGCCTCCTCGCGCAGCCAACCGCCGACACCCAGGCGGGGGAGCCAGCTCATCTCTGTCCCCAAGGAGAGCGGCCGGGGGGGCGCTACCTCTCGGAGAAGCATTTCACCAGCAGCCACACGATGAGAGGCAAGTTCTCGCGCTCGTTGTAGGTGGGTAAAAGCACCGAATATTTATCCCGTGCCGAGGGACGGCCCTCTGGCTCCCGCCGAGACTTGGCAGGCGTAACACCCGCTTCCATTGAGGCCATGGCGGAACTGCTCGAGGCGCCGGAGGCGGAATTTCGTCAGCCAGACTTGGGCCGTACCAAGTACGGGGGGGGGTGGCCCGTGTGACTGAGTTCTGCTGTCCTCTGCGTTATTTGCCTCTACGGCTCAGTTTTAAGTACTCATGAAATGTGGATCTTTAAATTGAATCATGAGGCTTATCCAAGAAGTACCTTTTTATTCATTGCCTTTATCCAGCTCCATGAAGGTTTTTAGTTCATTCCATCAATTTCAGAGAGGAAACCGGAAACGGAAGTCATTTCGCGATAATTTCCAAGAGAAGTCACCATGGCTACTCGGGAAGAGGTGCTTGCCTTACGAGCTGCAGTTGCCCAGCGTGAGGAGGAGCTGAATTCCCTAAAGCAGAAGCTGGCGGCGGCTCTTTTGGCGGAACAAGAACTGGAGCCAGAGCGGCGAGTTCCGGTGTCGCCGCTGCCGCCGAAGGCTGCCTTGTCCCGAGACGAGATTCTGCGCTATAGCCGCCAGCTAGTGCTGCCAGAGCTGGGCGTGCACGGACAGCTACGCCTGGCTGCCGCATCTGTCCTCATCGTGGGCTGCGGTGGGCTTGGTTGCCCGCTGGCGCAGTACCTGGCAGCAGCCGGCGTGGGCCGCCTTGGCCTTGTGGATTACGACGTCATTGAGTTGAGCAACCTGGCCCGCCAGGTGCTCCATGAGGAAGCACTGGCTGGCCAGGCCAAAGCCTTTTCGGCCGCCGCCTCTCTGCGCCGCCTCAATTCGGAAGTAGAGTGCGTACCCTACGCCCAGGCCTTGACCCCAGACACTGCGCTAGACCTGGTCCGCCGCTATGACGTAGTGGCCGATTGCTCTGACAACGTCCCCACTCGCTATCTGGTTAACGACGCCTGCGTGCTGGCTGGCCGGCCTCTCGTGTCTGCCAGCGCCTTGCGTTTCGAGGGCCAGATTACAGTCTACCACTATGACGACGGGCCTTGTTATCGCTGCATCTTTCCCCAGCCACCCCCGGCGGAGACAGTGACCAACTGTGCCGACGGCGGGGTGCTGGGTGTCGTAACTGGGGTTGTGGGCTGCCTGCAGGCTCTGGAGGTGCTGAAGATCGCTGCGGGCCTGGGTCCTTCGTACAGTGGAAGCCTGTTGCTCTTTGACGCCCTCAGAGGGCATTTCCGCTCTATTCAGCTGCGGAAACGTAGGTCTGACTGTGCAGCTTGTGGGGAGCGGCCCACTGTGGCTGATCTGCAGGACTACGAGGCCTTCTGTGGCTCCTCAGCTACAGATAAGTGTCGCTCCCTGCAGTTACTGAGCCCAGAGGAGCGGATTTCTGTTACCGACTATAAGCGACTTCTGGATTCTGGGGCACCCCACGTATTGCTGGATGTCAGGCCTCAAGTAGAGGTGGACATCTGTCGTTTGCCCCATGCTCTGCATATCCCTTTGAGACATTTGGAACGAAAGGATAGGGAAAGCCTAAAACTCTTAAGAGAAGCCATCCAGGAAGGGAATGGGGACACGCAGGAGGGGACTGCTGTCTACGTTTATGTGATTTGCAAACTGGGAAATGATTCCCAGAAAGCTGTGAGGATCCTACAGTCTCTAACAGCAGCTCAAGAGTTAGATTCTTTAACAGTTCAGGATATTGCAGGGGGCCTCATGGCTTGGGCTGCCAAAATCGATCAGACATTTCCACAGTACTGAGGTGCCTGGTTTAGTCTGTGTGAACTGCTATAATACCTCGAAGATATATTTATTTGCATTTTTTGATACTATAAAGAGCTTGGGATTCTATAATAATATATGGGATCTCTTTTATAAGGAACTTTCTGATTATAATATGTATCAGAGGACTTACAAATTAATGGACTATAATACAGTTCCTGAGAACAATCTTGTGTTTTCACTTCATCACAGGATATCTTAGAAATGTAAAATACAATGTGAAAGGATTTTATATTTTAAACCACATCATTTATCTCTTTTGGTTTTAATGAGACAGGGTCTCACTATGTAGTTCAGGCTGGCCTTGAACTCTGTATGTAGCCTAGACTGGCATCCAACTGAGGCAATCTTGTCTCAGCCTCCTGACTGCTGTGATTATGTGCAGGTGCCACCATACCTATGTTTTCTTTAATTTTCACTTTCCCCCAACCAGAAATTAAATTGTCCATTTTATACCTGGAATTAAGACATAATAAACTTAGTATTTCGGAATTGATTATAGATAAAGTGCTTAGGATCAGTTTAGTGAGGTATTTTCTGGTTCTTACTTTGACTGCAAATGAGAATATATCTTACAGAAATAAATGTTTCATATGTAACGTGTTTTAATCATCTAGAAAGTGGTCATTGTATTGCATATTTTGAATTAATATAAATAAGAAATCATTACAGTTTAGCAAAACAAAGGAAACTGCCTTCACAGTCTCTCATTTCCCTTATAAGTTGCTAATATTCAAGTTCCGTTTTGTACAAATGTATTTTCTAAATTGTATATTAGTGTTTAACAATCAAACTTAAACCTAGAATGGTCATTGCCTTTAACTGTGAAACACTAACTCAGTCTTTGAGTAGATATGTTTAAAAGTATGGTCTGCTTTTTTTTTTTCCCCAAGGCATTATGGAAATAAAGCCTTGTGGTGAGAATAAAGGTGGCTGGGCTGACCTGTGTCTTTCCTTGCTTATTCTAGGGCAAGCTAATTGTGATGTATATTGGAAGCAAGGAAACTAAGAAGTGTCTTAGTCATTGTTAGGTTACAGTACCTGACTCCCACAGCTTAAGGGAGAGGTTTCTTTTGGTTCACTTTTAGAATTTTCAGTCCGTGTTTGGGAGGCCTAAATACAGAAACAGCACAGTGCAAGAATCTGAGCAGAAAAAAGCTGCTCAGTGTGGTGGCAGCCAGTAAGCAGAGAAAAGATGAGCTGGGGAGGGACAGACCTTTCCAGTCGCTCCCCAGGGACCTACCTCTAAGCCGCCCTGCCTCCCAGCTGCATACACAGCTGCTGACCTCAGCAGTGGGTCAGTCTACCCATGAGTACAGCAGCCCCATGTTCCAGCCACTTTCCTAACCCCACTCCAACACGTGGGTTTTGAGGGGACATTCCCACTAAGCCATCATAGGAACTATTTCATATTTTGAAGACTGATGTCTTAAACTTAGACATGTGTGATTCCTGCCAACCTGGTTGGAGTCTGGCAACCAAAGCTGACTGGCCAAGTGGGAAGTGGTTTGTTACAGTGATAGGTGTGCTTTTGAGAATCTGTGGGCCAACTCAAGGGGTTGCTAGGAGTGATGCCCAAGCATGCACAGACCAGACTCATGAGAACACAGCGCTTTGCTACCCCAGCAAACTATAATTGTTCACAGTTTAGGATATACACAGTTTACTGTGAAGTCTATCGACATCAGCGATTTCTAATCTTTAGTTCAATTATTCACAATTTTAAAACAACAAAGTTTGACTTAATTAGTTGTTTCTGCCTCAATATCATTTTGGGGCAGGTTGCTGAGGATAAGTGGAGAAAAAGGTTATGTCCTAAAATTTTTCCTCTTGATGACACCTTGGTTTCAAAGCTGGCAGAGATAGGTTGGTATCATGGTCATTTTAACAGTATTCTTATCCAATGCTTCTAGGTGAAGGAATTTAACAGTTTCAGTGAGTTCAGATAGTTGATGACAAAACTTGTGAGCAAGACTTACCGTGTAGTTAGAGCCTGCTTTTACAATTTTGATGACATTGCCACCCTAGGCTGACTGCTGGCGACCTACCAACAAGGTCTTTGATCCCACCTTCTACCTCGCTGGCAGGGCTCAAAATGTTAGGCACGTTTGTGCCATTCAAATAGAATTTGGATCTGACTGCTTCCTCTCTGTCCCCAAGACTTACTCTTTTTAGTCCAGCAGTCATTTCTCCATCAAGTTTATAGCGTTTCACAAATTGCACATGAAGAATATTAATTGGACCACTGAGTACTACAGACCTTCAGTCTTAAGATAAAGAGATACCTGTGTACCATGATAGCAGTCACCTCAAGACATTTTTTTTTTTTTTTTGTCTTTTTCATTTTTATCGGTACGGGCGATCGAACTCACGATCGCCTGCTTGCAAGGCAGGTGCTTATGCCGCTGAGCTAAACCTCCAGCCCCGACATTTTTGATCATTATAAATGTTCTCTTGATAGTGTGAGTGGTGGAGGAAAACAGGACTTGTGGATTGTGAGTTTCTCTGATGATGCAAAGAACAATAGTTAACATACCTATTGTCCACAGTGTAAAGCCAAAGGGTGAGGCTGGGGATATAGCTCAGCAGTGCAGGGTCTGCCTGGCAAATTCGAGGTCCTGAGTTTGATTCCCAGTACACTCCCCCGAAAAAAGAGCTTTGCAAATTAATTAATAGTAGGGTAAACAAGTACTGTAATGAGGGTGGCCAGGAACCATGATGCAGCAGGGAGTCTGACCAGTCTAATGCTCGGCAGTTTAAACCCAACTTGGTCTTGCAGGAAGTGGCTACAGTGTTGCTGAGACTTTCAATCCTTTAGGAATGCTGAGGCCTGGTGTACCCTCAATGGGAAAGAGAGTGCTTAGTAGCTGTGAGATCCTGCATTCCATGTGCAGACTAAAACCCATTAAAACAATATTGGGGACTTTCTCCCCCAATTTTTCTGTTTGAAATACAGGGTATAAAGCCAGGGCCTCATGCAAACACTACCACTGAGCTACACCCCAACCCAAATCTTCTAATTTTAAAAGGCAAAGAACACATTTAAAGTTTTTGAAAGACATCAAATGAAACACACTTGTAGGCTGGGGACATTTTTTTTTTTTTTTTTTTTTTTTTTTTTGGTACTAGGAATTGAACTTAGGATCTTGTGCTTGCTAGGCAGATCTCTGAGCTATATCCCCTTTCTTTTGTTTTTTTTGGAGACAGGGTCTTTGCTATATAATTCAGATTCAATATGTAGCCCACACTGGTTCCAAATTCGCAGGGATCCTCCTGCAGCAGCTTCCCAAATGCTGGGGTTACAGGCATGCACTGCCTCACCTCTAAATTAAAATAGAAAAAAAAAAGCAAATGAAAACTTGAGTTGAGGGCGGGATTTAGCTTAGCAGCATAAGCACCTGCCCCAGCAAGCATGAGGTCTTTAAGTTTGATCCCTGGTTCCAAAACACAAAAACAAAAACTTGAGTTGGGTCTTTTAAAATTTAGTGGACTTGAAGACAGCTGTAGGGGTAGAGTCTAAGCTGCTTTAACAATGTAACACCTGTATTTTTATATGTAATTTGTGGGTTTACTTTTTTTTTTTTTTTTTTTTTTTTTTGGTACCAGGGATTGAACTTGTGACCTTGTACTTTCAAAGCAGGTACTGTGCTGATGAGCTGTATCCCCCACCCTTAAAATTGTTTTTAATTTGTAATGAAAGACTTAGTCATCTCAGCCAGTAAAAGTTATGAAAAAAGGCTTTTTGCTGAATCATTTTAGTGTCATTTAGTATGTACAATTACTATCATTTAAAATTATTTGAGGGGCCAGGGATTTAGCTCAGCAGCATAAGCGCCTGCCTGGTAAGTGCTAGGTCATGAGTTCGACCCCTAGTAGCCACCCCCCTCCAAAAAAAAAAAAACAAAAAATGATTTGAGGCTGGTAGTTTCAAAACACTAAAAAATTGGAACAGAGATGCTACGCACACTATTATCAAATCTAGTTTTTGCCTTTCTTAGTATTTTAATGAATAGGTAATTGAATTTAATTCATGGAAGGATGTACTTGCACAATATATAATCTGACTGAAGACACAGGGTGTGATAGAAATGAGCTTACAAAGGATACTACTGGAAATTTGTACCTGCAGTGTCTCAAGCTGAGTTAAACTCATTAATTAATCTCTGATAACAGCAAAAGGAAAATTCAGTAAATGAATTGTCATAAAAATACTTAAAGATAGATGATTCATGATGATTATCTGAAAAATATTTTGTTAACTTTTTTTTTTAACTTGATGCTGGGAATGGAACCCGGAGGCTCATTCATGCTAAGCAAGTGCTCTACTACTGAACCTCAGCCTCAGCTCCCTATCTTTTTTAAACATTTACATCTAGTTTCAAAAAGCAAACTATGGCCAGCGTTGGCCCACTCAGGAAGGGAGGTTTTTGCAGGTGAGGTCCAAAGATTAAAGAACGCATGTATGCAAGACACAGGCAACAAGAGCAGGCTGCATGGAGCAGAGCAGAGCAGAACAACAAGAGGGCCACCTGCGTCTTTATTGTATAATTCTTATGCAGGTTGTTACCTCATGTTTACATTCTTACATACTACTGTAACTAACTTAGTATCCTACTGTGCCCCTGCACTAGACAAGCAAGGTCACATCCTCAGATGCCCCTGAGCTTTTTTTTTTTTTTTTTGGTCTTTTTTGTTTTTATCGGTACCAGGGATTGAACTCACAACTGTCTGCTTGCAAGTGCTCCTGAGTTTTGAAGCAATCTGAGTGGTTCTCTCTCAGCCAGGCATAATGGTACATGCCTGTAATCTCAGCACTCAAGAGGCTGAGGCAGGAGGATTGCTGTGAGTTCAAGGCCAGCCTGGGCTATCAGCCTGGACTATGTAATGAGACTCTGTCTCAAAAGAAAAAAAATATGTCCTCAAGGTATCAAAATTGTATAAATATTATGATTATGTATTTAGTTTAAAAATATGCTTAGGTGTTTAAAAATAATTCATGCTCAAGATAAAATTTTCAGTAGTTTAACAGTCTACACAGTAAATGTTATTCAGCATCCTGGATGGAAGGAGGCCTGAGACAGAATAAAGAAATCAGGGAAAACACCTGAGTAAAATTTGTTCCTAATAGTGCACGGTGCATGTCTGGTTTTGATACATGCACTATGGATTTTAAGATGTTAAACTGGATGGAGAATATATGGGAAATTTATCTTTGCAACTCAAAGCAATTTCAAAATAAGTTTAAAAGTAAATAATAATACAGAAAGTAGAAGTCTTCCCTCATAATTTTCAGTCTTTTAACAGTCTTATCATGTTGTTATACATACATATTTTCACATATAGCTTCTTTAGATAGGTGTATTACTATGTCCCCAGGCAGGCTTGAGCTCCTGGGTTCCACCTCAGACTCCTGAGTAGCTGGGGCTATAGGCCTTTACCACCATGCTCACTACATATATTTTTAGAATTCACATGGTACCACTTCATTTACATTTCTTTTATCCCTTGCTTTTAAAAATGTAACCTACATTGGTCACTGTTCTATTTGATCTCAGTTCATGGAGATTCAGCTCCTTTTTAACCACCAATTAGGATGTCATTGTATACATGTGCTATAGTTTCTTTAACCAGTTCTTCATTAGTAGACACCTAGAATTCTTTTTATCTTCAAAATAGTTGCCCATATCTTCAAACAGAATAGAATCAATCAAAACAAAACAGAATAAAACAAAACAATCAAAACAATACAGGACTTTAAAACAAGATAATAGGAAATTAACAACAGCTACCACCTTTTTTTAGATGTTTCCTTCCCTTTCACTTTCACAATGTGTATTGTACATTTTGGATCCCCCTAACTCCTTCAGTGTTTTATACCAGGAAGACAACATGATGGTCACCCATATAAGTCTGAACCATTTCACCCATGAGCGTGATCTCAA